TAAAGGAGTCTGTTCGTCCCCCCAGGAAATATTAAAAATGGGGGTCAGGTTTCCAGGGGTTCCCCTCTTCCTTTTCCACTGAAATATTTGTTAGGTTCCGGGCTCTCTTTTTTGGGGGTAAACCCCCCCCAACAAAGACCCACCATAAGCATAATCACCTCTATTCCCCCCCCCCCCCCCCCCACTCCCTCTTCTTACTCCTCTCATTGCACACCCCTCCCACTCTGTGATGTTGACATGCTCGCAGGGCATCGCAGACGACCTGGAGCCCGTCCGACTGGCAGAGACGTATCATGACAAGTGAGAGGAGGGGGAGGGGAGGCGCCTTGCGGTGCTCATGCCTTCTGCAGGACACTAGATGACGTCAGCTTCAGACCGGAGTTTATGACCTTCAATCACCGAGGGCGGGTACGAAGCGAGCTCGCTGGCTCGGCAAGGGCTGACGCGACAGCCTCCAGGTACTCGGCCTCCTCAGCCAGGCGGCGCCGCCAGGACAAGCAGGCTCCAAGAAGACAAACTGAAGGGACAGATCGTGTACATTGAATGGCTCAAGACTGCCCACCAGCCTCCCCTCTACATCTCCATCCCTCATCTTCAGCATCGTAGAAACAGAAGGACGAGACTATGACCGGATAGCGCGCCCCCGCCACCTGCACCTCCCATCCTTCGTCCTCCATCTGCTCTCCTGCCTCTGCCATCGCCAGCCGACGGCTCCCCCAGCGAGTGCCCGTAGCTTGCAGATCGGATAGTTTCGACTGTGGTGCCATAGTTGATCAAGGGCTCGCCATGGTAGAGCATGACACTGGGATCGAGGACCAGCACGTGCAGCATTCTCCTCCGTCTCCCTTTCCTCTCCACCTCCTCCAGTAGCTTCTCCAGTACGTCTCTTCCGCCAGGAAACCTCCAGGCTTGTCAACGGTGCCAGGAGGAAAAGAAGCCCGCATCAAGAACTGAGTCTGTGTCGTCAAGCTCTTGCCCGAAGACCCATCCTCGGGCTTATTAAAGCCTTCAGTCCAGCATGCCGTCCCTCCCACATGATCGCGTCGTAGACTTGAGTCGCCTCCCCGAATGAGCAGCTCGTAGCCAAGCTCACCCGTCAGTGACGTCCTGCTGAAGATCACCGACGTTCGGTCACCCAGCCACCTCGAAATTCAATATGGCATCGTAGTCCTGTACGCTTCCAATCGCAACACTGAGGCCTTTTACTACTTCGCTAGTCGTAAAGTCGAACATGTAACGGCAAGAGCCTCCAGCCATCTGATACTTTGACTCCACCAAGTTAGCTCCTGCTTCATCGTCGTTCGCAAGCCTCCCGCTGCTGACATCCTCGCTCCTATCCATCACATCAGCGACACTATCATACAACTCATGATAATGCCTTCTGGTACTCCTCCAGCGTCCACGAGTACACGGTCAGCTCCTTCACCTTGTTTACTTTGTCGGTCTTGTCATAATTCCTCCCCCCTCGAGATCCCATCGATAGGCTGGCCACAAGTCGCCGATTGGCCATGTCCTCTTGGAACCATGTTGTACAATAACAAATCCTCATCTGGACCTGTCATGTAACCGGTCTACTAACCCAAGCCTCTTCTTGTTGCAAGTCCATTCCTTGAGAATTGCCATTAAATTTGTTCCTGATCCCTACGGAGTTTGCATAACAGTCACCTTCGCCTTGCCGTCCACTATCTGCAAGATCGCCTGACACATTCTTGTCTACAGATCCGTACGTACATCACTGTCCATCGAGTCCCTCCATGATGCTCTGCGACTCGATAGCAGTAACGAAATCGATGTCATTGTCTTCCCCGTTGGGTGTTCCTTGCGGACCAAGGAGAAAACACACTGATCGTACTGACTGTGGGAGGGTGGGCCGCGCCTATCAGCCTGGGCCACTGGGCCAATGATTGCAGCCTCGGAAGTTCCGAACTTAGAGTCACGGTCAACCGTCACACTGTCGATCGGATGACTCACTGAGTCAGTCGGACCCGGTGACCGAGGCCGCTACTTGAGGAGTCACACTGAGCCTGATCGGATCCGATGATGAGATTCAGGCTCCTTCAACGTGACAGGCAACCGTCCTGGCCCTCGCCGGGGAAGTAGTGCACGGTCAATTGAAAGTTTGATCGGTCCGATCGGAAGCGGCCTCAGTGAGCCGAGCCGTTAGGCCCGCCTTCAACCGGACCGTCGACGAGTCACGCCGCGGCCGCCTGTGACGGTCCGATCCGATCTGATGATCGGACCCGGCGGCGGCCCGGCCGTTCAACCGGCCCCCCCGCCGGCAGGCCCGAGTCCGATCAACGGAAGTTTTCCGACTCGAAGTTCAATGTCGGATTCAAGTTGCAAGGAGGCTCAGATTCAATTGAGTAAAGTTTATGGTACAGTGATTTGAAAGGGTTCAAGTTTGTTTGCTAGGGTTTGGTAATACCCCTGTGGGCCATTCAAACTACCCCCACCCCCATTTTCTATCAGTCTCCATCGCATCTTATAAGTACCCCTTCTCATCTCAAAACACCCCCACCCCCTTGAAGTCAAAATGACATGTTCGGCACCTCTGCTCTCTCTTTCGTCCCCACCACTTTCAGCAGACTTTCAGCCTGAAAATGATGGTAGGGGTGGTGCCCCCCCTGTGAGGAGGGGTTCTAGGGGTACCTCTGAGGGCACTTGTTGGTCACGTAAGGGGTTGGGGTGGAATTCTTGGAAGCACGAGCCAGGATGGGGTGGGGTAGGGTGGGGTTTTAGCGAGGATCCTCTTTTGAGGGTGGGTAGTCTCCGAATCGACTTATGGAAAATGAGGTCAGGTGGGGTAGTCAACAGACAACAGGGTGGTTGCAATACCACCGGTCCTGTTTCCAATTGAGGCGTAGATGTGAATGAAGCAGGGAATCGAGGGAAGGGTGTAGTAGGGGTACATACATTATGAGATTTTACGATGGGGTGTTTGTGTGGGTGGGGTTTTGTGATATGACCCCTGGGGACCCAATGAGAAATAGATTGAAAGGGTAGGGTAGTCAAGAGTAGGGTAGGGTCAAATTCATACTTGAGCAGGGGTGGGTACTGGGCTGTTCGCTCTCGGGGCCGCAACAAATCACTTAAACCAAACCCTCGTTTACCCTATGTTTGTTGTGTTTTTTTGAATGTTTGGGGGGTGGGGTAGCAGATAACCCCTGCAAATCCATAGAAATCAGATCCCGAACTTGGGGTGAACTCCAAGGGGGGTGTCGAATCCTGAGGGTGGGGTGGTTTGGATGGTGGGTAATGGAAGATCATGTGGTTTAGTTCCGATTTACCTAAATCTTCAAACAAACCAACTGGTGATCCATGCAGGCTATTTTTGAGATCCATCTCCAAATATGGTCTTCAGTTTGAATATTAGCTCATATAAATACATAAATATTTCAAAATATGCAACGAGAGTACCCTCTGCGAAAAAGTTCAGAGATGTTTCTTTGATCCTCCTCTTCATGCAGGGCGGGGGAAACTGGGGGCGGAAGAGGTAGAGGATTAGGGTCAGAAGGTGTCGAGAGACTGGCAAACAGTTGCGAAGATGTATGCACTGCCATGAGAATAGATCTTGCATGCCATCACTCCATTGGAGTGAACAAGTGTCCAGGGAATCAAAAACAAGACTGTCGAAGACATGTACAACAGGGGTACGACACCCTCGTTTCTGTAGCTAGAGGTGTGTTTTTAGCTTGCATTGAGTGCATACGATGCCTTGTGCGTCATGGCGGCCATCGTTCCTAGTATGTAGAGGAAGAATGACGTTTGGAGTGAGAGAGAAGGGATTTGCGGATCACGGCGACGTCATCAAGCATGTTAGGGTGTTTTTCAATTATGATGTAAAGGGATAAGATTGTTGTACCTCGTAGGAGCTCTCGTTCAGATAATTCTGCTCGCGCTAAGTCTGTTCTAAGGTCCTGGATCATCTGGTTCTGGCTCCATGAGACCGGATCGGAGTACAGCTCCCCCTTCGGAGGGTTCGAAACGGCGGTGGAGCGCATGGTACCTGAAGAAGCAGAGGGTTGGGTTCGGCAAGAGGCTTTGGATCTTTCTGAGTTTGGTTTTTGTTCTCCTCTTTCCTCTGTCCAACGAGGAACGAGCAGGTGAATGCTTTGTCATCCCTCAACTATTTAGCTACGTGGGTGGAAGATTGCTCAACTCAATCTGCTCGTTGTCTGAACTCTCCTGTGTTGAGTTGAAAGTGTAGATGATGTGTTGTGACGTATACCTCTGACAAAGTTGTTTTTGCAGCTGTAAATGCGCATGTGAATAGTGGATCTGGCCTCGCTTTCTCTCAGATTCGTTGCTTGCTGAAACATGAGCGAGCTAGGGGTCGCCCTGTTTTCCAACTGCCACTTGTCAAGACCGACAGGATCGAGAAGAGCAGGAGGGCAATCCATTCTCCTTCGATGGTTGCTGGCTATGCACGCAATGCAGATGATGGAAGTGGGATGTCGTTCGGGAGCAGGAGGTGGTTCCTCTTTCCTCTCAAGTACGAGGCGCAGGCCGATGTTGCCAAGGTCAAGCCCCCGGTCAAACAGAAGATCAAGAGCGCTTCAAGGAACAACACGCAACCAGAAATGCAGAAGAAGGCTACTTCTGGGAAGAAAGCAACCAAGTTCCTGCTCGAAGGAGTCATCTCCCTCGGGCTGGCTGCTCAGTCCATGCTGGGAAACTCGTCACAGGCAGTTGAAACGAGTGAGGTGTCCGACGTGTCAACATCTGACCTCTTAGAGGATGTTGCGGCTCGCAATGTTACGAAAGAGGAAGGTATCCGAGGAGACGCTGCACCCTCAAACGCGCAAGTTCCCACCAACTCCGTGACAACACCGGAATCTAAGGATGCGCCATGGCAATACACGTGGACTCCGGAGAAAGGAGATTATTGGGCGTACGAGCTCGGCTATCGTCTCAGCTCTAGTGCTGTATGTCTACCTCGTCCTCAGCTGGCTGAGCTCCTGATGCTCTTCGCAGGTGTCGACGATCGCGTCTGCTCTGGATTACGCACGCGGGAAGATTTCTGTTTCGGACAGCAACGAAATCAAGAATGCCGCAGGTAGCAACCAGACTGCAGGGGCTCCGCTGCTCCTTAGTACTGAGCTGTTGGAGAAAGACAAGGACGAGAACACAACAGCTGTTCTTAACAGGGTGCTTGACGCTGTGAGATCCACAAACGCAGCAGGTCCCAGCCTAGCCAGGGAGGGAGCAGCGAGTGTTAATGACTCTCTTGTGGAAGCAAACAGTATCCTTGAGGCTGCACCGCAGAACGAACGCCGCTCTAAGAGAGAAGAATTCTTCCACTTCATGCAGAATCTTGCCTTCTGGCAAATGGAATTTTGGAAGGCTGAGGAACCTGGAAACTTGTCGCTGTCCGAACGCAATAGGACGGATCTGCTCTCCGACCAGGAGGAGCGAGTTTTGGAAGCGTGGAAGGAGGCAGAAGCTTTTATCAAGGAGGAGAAAGTCATGAACTCGTCTTCAGAGTTGGCTGGCAGCGTCTTGTTCCAGGGCTTGCTCGCAGACAGCATCAACGGCGATGGTCTTAAGGAGTCGAACGCCTCTGCAATCGATGGATTGACGGGAGTGGCAAAGGATGAAGTGCAGGATTTGTTCGTTGGGCTCTTTGAAGGGATGAGCCCAGTTTCCTCCTCCCTCCCCTCAAAGTTGGACGCTGCCGATCTGTTGCAGACCGACTCATCCGAGCCTGAGGCTTCACCTGCGACAGGAGGGACGCAGAGCTTTGCGCTTGCTTCATCCTCGTCGGGGTCGTTGGCCGACGCGGTCGTCCGCCTCTTCAAGAGTGTCGGCCTTGATTCAGGTGACTCGTGCTGTTGGATCCTCAACCTCCCCCTGACTTGCTCCCCTGCCCAGCTGCATACGAGCAGAAGCTGGAGGAGGCCAAGGTGACGCTGCTGCAGTCGATTGGGGTGGGAAGCAAAGGTCCCCTCGACGAGTACTCGCCTGACTGGCAGCAAGCACCAAAGTTTGATATGTCGCTTGCTGCCGTGATGGCTCATTACGCGTTCGAGAGCTACAACTACCCGGTGGATGGCCGGTGGGAGGAGCATCTTGACGGGACAAGAACCTGCTACTTGTCTCCCGGTAACTTGGCTGCTGCTTCTCCTTCCTCCTCCCTCCTCTCTCGCCGTTACGAACGTCATCGTCTCCCTTCAGCCTTCTCCTCATTCCCGCATCACCACATGACATGATACTCGCAGACATTGTCCGCTCGCTTTACGACGGAATCATCTGTATGAAGATCGCAAAGCTTCGCCAGTCGGCCCATGCAGATGACAAGAGCGGAGAGGAGCTTGACCTCGCATCCAAGGCCATGCGCCTGCAGTGCAAGATGCCCGATTCCGTTCACAGCACGCGACCGATGCGAGCGGCGGAGAGCAGCAAGAGAGAGAATCGCACGTTTCTCATGTGGGACGATACTCTCTTCATGTACGCAACCAACAGCAGGAGGCAAGACGGCATTGCTGACTCTCTCCTCCTAGAAGCGGTACTGCCCTCTCATGTCCTCTTCACTCTGTCCCCTGACTCCTTTCACAGATTGCAGAGAAAGGAAACTTTCCCTTCGGCCCAGAAGAAGTCTGTGGGACGGCGACGATCCCACTGAAGAAGCTGAGAAACTCTAAGAAGCAGAGATTCCACATCCCCGTCTTCTCCTGCAAGGAAGAAGAGGTCGACGTGCTGGATGCCTCTGACTCTGTGGAGCTGGCCAGTGAAGCAGAGCAGGACCTCAAGGAGGATCTCAGGGACGAGCGCAAGCAGCTGCAAGGGAAGGAGTCCCAACTCCCTATCCCACTCCCTCTTCGTGGGGATGGGGAGTTCGAGCGGTTCTCCCTGCTCGGGGTAGACCTTCCAGCTGGACAGGTAGCACAGGTGACGAGCTCCATATCGGACGAGCTTGTCCGGTCCAAGGAGGAAGCGAAGCAGCAGGAACTTGTTGCGCGGAGGAGCATGAAGTCAGCCCTGCAGCAGGGGCTGCCGCTCGTTGCCTCCCTCAAGTCCTCCGACGTGGTCGGGTGGCTCCAGGAGATTGGACTAGGAAACTTTGCTCCTACTTTCGGGAGCAAGGGAGTCGATGGAAGGTAGGAAGAGGGGAGGAGATGGAGGGAGAGGAAGGGGTGATGAGGAAGGAGGAAGTAGGAAATTTTCTAAACATGCCGTGCAGGTCACTGGTTGAGATGGGATTTTTGCTTGAAACGGATCCGAACTTCCTGTACAGCATGCTGCGAGATGAGTTCGGGTTCACGCAGATTGGCTCCATCCTCACCTTTTCTGCTGAGCTCCGTGTGCTCCTCCGCGCAGCTTCGCAGAAGAGCCCCTGGCAGGTCGAGCACGTGAAGGAGGACAAGAAGGGAGCTGAGCAAGAATCGACGAGAACTGGCTGGGAGAAAGTGGAGGGGAGAGCCGAACGTGCGATGGGGGACTCGGCCAAGGAGAAAAAGCAGAGCAAGGAGGGGCTGGACTGGGCTGTGTCGAGGCTCAAGGAACTTCTTGATGGTGAAAGCACAGAGATGTCGGAGGAGGCTACTGTACGGCCTTCGTCTTTCAAGGAGCGATCGTCCGACACACGGACGAGGACTGGGAGGATCGGCCTCCTTGAAGTGGAGACTCAGTACTTCCCCTTTTCCGATGGCCCCTACGTCCTCGGTAAGAATTTGCGGCCCTCTTCCCTTTCCTGCCCCGTCGCTCACTCTCCCTCGTCTGCTCACTCCTCCCTCATGCTCCTTCTGCAGGCCCTCAGTCTGGCCCCCTCCAGCTCCGTTCTGGCGTGCTAGGCAGGTGCGAGGCCTGGCCGTCGATGGAGCGCTGGAGTCTCTTGACCAAGCTGGCCAAGGAGCGAGGGAACGGGTCAGTGCAGTCGAGTGAGCTGGGAGAGCTCGCGAGCTTCATCGAGGTCAACTCGACCGACACCCACGTTGTCGTCTGGCGAGACAAGACGCACAAGAGGATAGTTGTCAGCTTCCGCGGCACCGACATCAACTGGAAGGACGTCCTGACGGACCTCATGTGCTTTCAGACTGACGTCTCCTGGCTCTTCGACCCCCAGCCAACGTCCTGCTCTCCTCTTCCTGTGGCCTCTCACTGACCTTCTCCCTCTAGGTCTCTTCCTGAGCCTCAGCTCGATGGCCCTGAGGTGCAGAAGGCCGCGGGCCCTGACCCGAGTGGGCTCGGCAATTTCGCGTATGAGGGATCAGAATCGCCTCCTCCTAAGGCCCACATCGGCTTCTGCATTGCCTACGCCTCCTGCCGTGAGCAGGTGCTCCTTGCCATCCGTCCTCATCTCCTTGTCCCTCTCCGCGTTGTTGTTCCAGCTCTGTCCTCTCCCTCCCCATGCTTTCTTCCAGACCCTCCCCATCCCTCCCCTCCATCATCACCGGCCTGATCTTGTTACCTCTCTCCTGCTCTCGTTGCCACTTGAGTTCTTGCCCTGGTTGTTCTGCTTCCACGATCTCGCCTCCCATCTCTCTCCCTGACCACCTGACCCTCCTCTCAGCTCACCAGGACGCTGCGGGCTCTCTTGCCTGAGGACGAGGAGGAGCTGAAGAAGTGGACCGTTTGCAGCACCGGACACTCACTGGGCGGCTCTCTCAGCACCTTGTTTGCGGTCGACGTGGCAGTTCGAATCCCCGAGCTGCAGGTCATCATGTACAACTTCGGGGCCCCCAAGGTTGGGGACGACGAGTTCGTCCGCCGGTACAACGACCTAGTGCCCAACTCGTTCAGGGTCGTCAACGATGCTGACGTCATCGTCCGTCTGCCGAGGAACAAGGGGGTCGGCAGCATCCCCGGGGCCACCAACTACTATCATGTGAGTGATGGGACTGCCTCTCCTCCTACAACTAGATCATGTCCATCGCAACCACCGCCCCCTCCCTCTCCCTCTATCATCACCATCCTCATCGCTGTATATTTCTCCCCTTTCTCTCCCTCCTTGTCGATCTCTCTTCCCCTGCCTCTATCCACCGCTCTCTCCCACATCTAGCCACATCTTGTTGCTTCTTGCCCCTCCTCCCTTCCTCGCTGCTTGTCGTGACACTCTGGCAGATCGGACGTACAGTTCTGCTCTCCCCTGATGCCCCAGTGTGGGTGGAAGGAGAAAGTGCTGGTGACGATCCTCTAAGGTGAAAAGCAGCAAGATGTGTGAAGGAGGAGAGGAGGAGGGGATGTCAAGGAGAGGAGGAGCAAGAGGGTTCCAGGAGAGGAGTTGGAGGTATCAAAGAAAGGAGGAGTTAAGGAGGACGGGGAGGAGACGGCAGAGGACTAACTGAGGTGCAGCGAGCGGTGGGAGAGCTTGTCGGATCTTCTGGAGGCAGAGGTCAACCTGATGCAGGTAAGAGGCGAGTACTTGCCCTCAGCTGGGCATTGACAATTTGACAGACGTTGGTGGAGGGACGAGGTTTCGTCCAGCATGTCGAGAACGGATACTATGAGGTGAGAAGAACGAAGGAGAGGGAGGAGAGGGAGGAGCAGGAGCAGGAGCAGGAGCAGGAGCAGGAGCAGGAGCAGGAGCAGGAGCAGGAGCAGGGCGGGTGGAGGAGGAGGAGGCGAAGCAGATTTTCTCAGAAACCTTGCTGAATCGATGGCAGGCGATGCTCAGCATGCTACAGAGGACTCGACCCACCGGCATGACGCTGACGGAGGGAGAGAGGAGCGACATGACGCTGACGGAGGGCGAGAGGAGCGTGAGAGGAGCGACTTGAAAAATGAAACTTCATAGATGCAAGGGCACACGATACTCCCGAAGTACAGAGAGGGAGAGAAGAGAGGAGGAGGAGAGGGCGGGAGAGGGGAAGGAGGCGGTCAAGGGTTTTCATCTTCACCATCCAATGGCCTGAAAGTGTGTCAGCAGCTATTGGCTAACTCCCTCCCCCCTTTCTCCCTCCCCCCTTTCCTTTTCCTCTCCTCTCCTCCCCCCTCACCTTCCAGTCGATCCACTGATCCCCGACAGCCACTTTGACGTCTCCTCCTCCTGGGAACAGTCCGAGCTTGTAACCACCCAGCACCGCGTCCTGCAGGAACATGAGGAAGGCGATGGAAGTCATATCATCTCACCTGTTTGCTGATCTCGATGACTTTCTGTCCTTGCGCGCTCGTCGCCTGTGCTCAAATCACTCCTCCCTTCTCCCCCTCTCCCTTCTCCCTCCTCCCTCACCGTGCCCGGCTGAGTTTGACAGGCGCAGGAGGTGAAGAACCAGGTCACCAGGTTTCCAGCTGAGTTCCAAACTTTGACGGTGTCCTTGGGCTGCGCGAGGGAGCTGGTGACAGACCAGCCGATGGTCAGCTGGAGGGTAGTAGAGGAGTACTGGTAGCCCTTGAAGCTCACAGCCGCCTGCCGGCAGGTCGCAAGTGAGCGGAATAGAACAGAGAGGAGAGGAGAGGAGAGGGGAGGGGAGGGCAGAGAAGGAGCGACAGGGAGCGAGAGGAGGAACAAGGAAGAAAATGGAAGAAACTTGTTGTGGAGAGGAGGGGGCGGGGCGAGGAGCACCTTTCCAATCGAGAAGGCAATGGTAGCGAACACCGGGGTCCACTGCTTCTGCAGCTTGAGGGTGTAAGAGGCTCCATCCGGCAGGCCCTCTGAGAGGACGACGTTGACGCATCCCTCCGCAGAGTCTGGGACGGGGGAGGAGAAGCCTGCTCCCTGCATGCCATGCGTCACTGACCTCTCACCTCCCCCTCTCCACCTGCTCCACTACTCTTACTCCCAGTTCTCCCTCAGCAAGTGAAGCTCTCTCCACTACCTCCTCTTCGTGTTCCTCTTCCCCTTCCTGCTCCTCTTCGTTGTCCTCCCCCTCCTCACTCGTACACGAGCACCGCCGGCCACTGCCTCCTCCACAGCATCCTCACCTGCAACCCATCGGGGTAGTAGTTGCCAGAGCTGCCATCGCCCTCATACAGCACCAACGCCTTGGGGTTCAGGTTGAGGGAGGGGGGGACTACGTAGCAGACCTCCTGCTGGGCGCCAGTGGCCCACAGGACCGGGTGGCTGCTGCTCATGCCCGAGATGCTGAGCTCGGGGACGGGCTCGGTGGCTCCCGCTGCTGCCATCTGACTCAGCACGGCCTCAGCGGCGTCCAGTCGGCTGTTCATGAGCTCCTGGGTCTTGGCCTCGGCGGCCTGGAGGGCTGCGATTTTGGCCGACAGTCGCGCGATCGGGTCGTTGAGCTGCTCGACGCGCTTCAGTTCGGTTGCCGTGCACATGTCAGAGGACAAGGAGCTGATGTTGGAGATCACGTCCCCCGCCGCCACCTCCACGGGGTATCCGTCCTGCCCGAACTCGTTGGGGGGTTTGTAGCTCATCAGCGCCACCTTGTACTCGCCGGCGGGGAGCTGGGTCTTGAAGCTGATCTGACCTGAGGCAGGGCAGAGGCCGCCGTTGGAGTTGCTGTTGTACTGGGAGGAGCAGAGGTACTGGGCGGCAACGAAGCTCATCGACTTAGTCTCGGAGATGCTGTAGAGACCTACAAAGGACTTCTGCGTCGGGGGCTGGGCACCACCGGTGTAGGAGTAGGAGAAGGAGAGGGTGGTCTCTCCCTGGCAGCTCGCTAGAGGAGACGCCTTGATCCCCCCGTCGCACTCCAACCCTGAGAAGCCTGAAGGGCAGATGCACTTGCTGCAGTCAGCAGCCGCCACTCCCCCGTTCTTGCAGGAAAGGCTGCAAGTCTCGCAGGAGGGGCCGGTCCATCCTCCCCGGCACATGCACGTGCAGTCCTTGAGGTATCTGCCAGCGTTGGCACAGGTCACGCTCGAGCACTTGGACGGGGTCTCAGGCTTCATGACGATCATCCCGTACGTCTCAATACCGCACTCGTTGCTTCCCTTGCGGACCTTCCACATCCCCTCATCCCCCGACGACTTGCCCCACGAGTTCTGGACCAGCCAGTAATCTACCCCGTTCTCCCGCCCCCAGCCGACGAGGACGACGGCATGCCCTCCGACCTTCTGGGCCTTGGCAGACTTGGTGTAGACTCCGCTCTTGTAGGAGTAGAAGTCATCGTACACGTCAAACACGACAACCCCAGGGCCATTCTGCATCAGTTCCAGCTGCATCTGCTTGATTCCGTCCGGAGTTTGGTCTCCTACAATCAGGGCTGTGCCTTGCAAGCCCGTGTAAGAGTTGCCGTTGGAGCAGTATCCTCCGCACGTCTCCTTGACTTGCGTGTAGGGATCGCAGAAGTTCTCTACTATCCTGGCACTTCGCTCATCCGCAATCCTCTCGTAGAGGGACAGCGGCCATCCTCCATCGCATCCGTTCCCGCAGTCCATTAGCTCTTGCGATGACGCCACCATGTTCCACTTCCTGTCCGTCATCTTGCACATCCTTGCACTGTAGGCTGTGCCAGAAGCGAAAGCGTAGCATGAGCCGCAGGAGCCTTGATCAAGAATGTCGTAGGACAAGCACTTGGACTCTTTCTCTCGATGATCACGAGCATCGTATGATGCAGGCGGCTGGAACCCAGCAGTCGAAAGCTTCACCGTCTTGGCCACCTTCTCCGCCAAGGAGGGTTTCATGAGCCCGAGACCGAAGTCCGGGATCACTTTGCCGTCGTGTGCCGCCTTGTGCTGAGCAGTCCACGAGAGCTGCTGCTGGTTGATGCTCCTTGCCTTGAACTCCGAGGACGCGAGTTGAGACGCCATACCATCCGCGCACACCTGGGGAGACACGCGCATGACGCGGAAGCGCCCGAGGTAGTTGTGAGGGTCTGAAGAGGCGAGCGAGGGGTCGGCGAGCTGACTCGCTCGAGGAAGGTGAGCGACGCGAGCAGCATAAACGCTGCCGTCGTACTCAATCTCGAGGCGATACTGCCCCCTCTGATCCGCTACCATGCCGTACTTGGCATAGAGGATCTTGGGAGGGCCCTGCTCGGTAGCTCGGATGGGGCAGTTGACCCGCCTCATGAGGTTCATGTACTCGAGGAGAGCTTCACCTGCCCTCATGACCTTGGGGTCGTCGAGCGGCTGAACTTCCAAGGCATCAGAGTCTGAATCTGAAGGAACCACGTCGTTCCTTGATCCAAATACATGGTCGGCGAGGTTGGCAAACGTAGCAGGGCACCAGGCCTTCTCTCCGCTTGGACCATTCTTGCTCAAAACGTAGGAGGCGAACATGGCACGGATGCTCTCGAGGCAGGGGTAGCTGCACCTCATCTGCAGCTCGGGGTTCGAGTCCACATGGATCACGTCTGTGTATCCCTTTGAGAAGCATTGGCAGGTATTCGAGCCTAGTGTAACCTTTCCCTCTACGGTCTCGGTGGATGTGGAGAGAAGGCAACTCCCGACCACTGCTAGACATGGGTGCTTGAGGAAACCGCAGGACTCAGTTACATCTGTGTCCTCGTCTAGCGTATCAGCATTGAACCCCACTGCCTTGGTGAACGATCTTGACTGGGCAACAAAGGGCAGGATATCGGCGTCCTTGGGTTGTTTGGAGGCGTCAGTTGGGGCAACAGGAGCTGATATCAGTCCTGCATTCTCAATCTGAACCATTTCAATGACATCTGCGCGATTCGCAAGCGAAACGATGGTAGCCAATACCAACAAAGCCATAGTACCTAGCAGACAATCAGGCCGTGTGGGAGCCATACGTTGGAAAGTTGATAGAACAAATCATCAGGAGACACTTGACATTCATGTAAGACAGAGAAGAAGTACAACAGGCTCCTTGGAATGAACCAAAGAGGTCGCAACAACACGGCAAACAGTCGGCATGCCACAAGCAGAATAAGACAAAGTCTTGGTGAGCGTAGTAAAGTCTACCTGATATGATAGCGACGGTCTTCGCCGATCTCTTGCTGTTCCATGATCGAGTAGTTCCTCCTCCTCCTCCTCCTCCTCCTCCTCCTCCTCCTCCTCGTCCTTCCTGGGCCATTGTACCGTACCCGCCTGCCATAGCCCAATCCCCCAATACCTCCACCACCTACCCCGTACAAAAGACTATTTGATTTTCGCTGTACCCCCACCCACTCAATTCATATATTTATTATAACACCGGTATGGTCTTAAAACGACCATATCCACCCCATGGGAATTATCACCCCCTAGATACCACGAAGGGTCAGACCACCCCGACCTGGCAAACGAAAGGAGAAATCACGGGTACTCATCACCTTGTCAAGTCCGGAGGCGGACGGGCCCGGCCGGTCGGAGCCTCCGCCGTCGGAGCTCGGAGACTGAGATGACAGCCACTCAGTAGGCTTTGAGCCTGAGTGGCAAGTTACTCTTCAAAGTTAGTCACTAACTTAAAACTTGAATCATAACCCCGGAGGACAATCATTGGCACTCTCCCGGTGATCTTTACTCAACTTGCCAAAGTTAACTTCATTAAAGATCAGTACGAGGACAACTTTCAAGTTCAGGAGACTCAGTTGCGCCGGCCAGGCTTCCGACCGGGTGACCCGTCACCGATCACGGCCCGCCCGGTGCCCCCGTGACTGCGGCGACGGTGGCACCGGGGCCCGGTCAGGGCCCGGGGCCGGTCAGGCGGCGACCGTCCGGCGAACCGTCCGGAACTTCCCGGAAACTTGCGCCCCAGTGTCACAGTGTGTCTCGGAACCCGGGCCGGCCCGGCGGGCGGCGCGGCGACGTGTGACCGTCGGACGGTCGGGACACTGAGCTTAGGCTAGTTACTGTTACCAGGCTACTAGCCTGAGCCCACCCGCCGCGGCCGCCGGTCCGACCGCCGTAATCCCGGATGATCATCGGATCACTCAGTGAATCACCGTCACGGCCGGGCGGATCCGATCTGCCCCGCCGGGACTGGCAACCCCGCGGGCCCGAGTCAGGCTCGCCGCCGTCACACGCGTGACGGGCGGCCGGCGTCCGTCGGACCGTACCGAACGGCCAGTGTCGGCGGACTCGCCTAGTACGGTAAGGCGCCGCGGCGGCGACTCTGAGCCGAGCCTGAGGGCCCGTGCGCAGACGGAATGGTCAACGGAACTTCCGAAGTTCAGCGGCCGCCGCGCCGCATTCGCGGCACGGCCACGGGCCGCGCCGACAAGGCAAGATTCTTGATTCTATTCCAAATTTGATGCCAGTATGCAACAACTTGGCTAACTCACAAACTTCAACAAGCCGATCAGATCGGATACATCTTGGACCGATCTTCTCACACTGAATCTCGCCTCGCTAAGCGAAAACTAACGAGCCAGGGCCACAAGGCCCGATCATCTGCACCAACACGTCTGACGGTTTCCTCGGAGTCTAGAAGTCGGAGACTCGCCTGCCATCACAACATATAATCAGCGAAATATTGAAGAAATATTGGAACACCATCTGGTAGAGATATTGAACATTGCTTATACATCGAACAACCATCGAACATATTTGATGATACTGCATTCAGCTCAAACATCATAATCATACCCGTTGAGCTCCCAGTCTCCGAACCTTGTTGGCTCTGCACCTCGCAAAGATCCTTTCGGCCCTCCGATCTCACCCGTCTCTTTGTTCTGCCATGGCGTGAAATCATCATCATCATCCACTGTGTCGACATGCATATCCGCCAGCTCCTCCATCGCCTTCTCCTCCATGTTTTTCATCATCTTCGGCTCTGACTGGCTGGTGCCACAACCGCTGCCACCTCGAAGCTTCCACATCTCTGAAGTAGCAGCGTTTGGATTGCTCGAAGAAGCCTTGTCTCTCAATGGCACGCTCGAACTCAACTTTGCTATCCTGGCATATCCAAAGCCCGCAGGCGTCCTGAGATGAGGTCTATGCAATGATCCAATGGCTGAACGCAGCAAGTTGCAAGTGCCTCGGTATGAAGGTCGCATATCCGACAGTTCTGGATAAAAAATCATTACAATCAAGCGACATGTCTGATTCAGCTCATGAACATTCGCAGACGATAGGGTGTTGCACGAAATCAAAATAAGGAACAAAGACTGCCAGACAAGAGCACAGAGAGTATGAAAGAGGTTCTAGAGAGAAACATGTACATGTTGAGACAACTGCACGCGTTTTCTTCATTGGAAACAGATGACATGGATGGAGCGTTTGATTGACTTGATTCACATAAGGACCTAAGGGCTCTTGGTTCTTGCTCCGCTGCTTTTGTTTTGTACCTTCACTTAGTCCCTCCTGTTCTCCCTTGCTTTGTATGCATACCCCTCCTGCTCTCACTGCCGTTTACTCATCATTTCTATTTCATCCACACCATTCTCGTAAGTTTGCGTTGCACGCCATGGCCATGGGAGCGGTCATCAACTTCTTATTTCCTCAGCTACCTCCCCCTCCTGTCTCTCCCCGTCTTGTCTCTCCCCTCCTGTCTCTCCCTCCTGTCTCTCCCTCCTGTCTCTCCCTCCTACCTCTCCCGCATCTCGCTCACTTTCCCTGTTGCCCATGGCCTTGAGCGTCTTGTAAAACTATTATAATCTTTGATGAGTAAACGTTTAGTCATTGCCGTTAAAACAGTAACCATGGGCAGGGCAGCGGCAGCAGGGGAGCGGCAGGTGGCGCGATGGCTGCAGAGTCGAGGGCTGACGGACGTGGATGCAGAGCGAGTAGAAGAAAGGTGGTTGTGGAGGAGGAGGAGGACTCTGTGACCCCGCTGCAGGCTGAAGGACGGCGTTCTGCTCGGGAATCTTCTGCTGGGGCTAGATCCTGGGTTGGACATGCGAGGCTTCAACCGACGAGTGCTCTCCCGCAAGCCTGCCTTGTCAAATCTAGAGATGATCTTGAGTGCGGTGTGGAGGAAGGGAGCGCTGGGAAAGGCGATGCCATCCGCTGCTGAGATCTACGATGGCCGTCGAGACAAGATCTTCTCGCTGCTCCGAATGATCATTGAGGTCTATGTTCTCCGTCCTGCGAGGAAGAAGCATCGCGAGATGTTGCAGGTGAAGGACGATGATGGAAAGATGTGCGATCGTCAATGACGCTGATCGCAGTGGATCCACAAAGTGATCTCACCCTACAACATGGAACTTCCAAAGAATGTACGTGCCTGCCGACATCTTCATCCTCTTACGTGCATCATCAGGTGTTGAGCGCCGATCTTGACAGTCCGACAGGAGTGACAACAGTCTGGCAAGCTCTTAGCAATGGAGTTGTGCTGTAAGCATCCGGCTCCTTGTCTATCATGCTGACTCTCGCTCCTCTCCTCTCCCCTTCAGTTTCTGCGTCCTGCACAGCTGCTGGCCAGCGTCCCTTCGTCCCGCTCCTCATGCTTCCTCCTTGTATTTCGCTCCGACTTCACGTGATGAGGTTCTGAGCAACCTGGACATTGTCTTCGGATGTCTGCAAGAGCTGCAGGAAAGTTGAAGAGGAGAAACAAGATCAACAGGAGGAGGAGATGGTGGTTGTGATGAAGGAAGAGCAGAAGGGTGATAAGAAGGAGGGGCGAAGGGAGGGAGAGGAGGAGGAGGAGGAGGGGGAGGGGGAGGAGGAGGAGGAGTTGACAGCTCCAACAGATCTCAGTCATCATCGAGCCGAAGGAATTTCTGCTGAGGCCTTCAGATGACATCTTCCTCTTGCAACTCAATCTCATCTTCACTTGCCTCTACAACCGCCATGGGCAACACGCTGGGATCGACGTGCTGAGCCTGGGAGAGCTGAGGTTGAAGGACCAGAAGTTGTATGCCGAACAAGATGAGACTTGTTGCAGGTTCAAAGACCACAATCGTCTGCAGGAGAGGTTGAACCGGATCATGGCAGCTCACAGCGCAAGGGCTGATGGTGAGGAGGTTGTGAGGGGCATGAAGAAGCGCTGATGAGGTTTCAGACTTGACAAGAGCAAAAGCTCTGCTGGAGGACGAATGCAAGGAGCTCCTGGAAATCAGATACGAAAAAGCGATGGAAGCGGTGAGAGGATAATTGAGACTTGTCCTGTTCCTCCCCCCCCCCCCCCCATAGTTTCATTGTTTTCCCTTGGACAACTCTCAATGTATTTCTGGGAAGTCTGAAAGAATTAAAA